GAAAAGTGGTTTTTCGTATTCAGCACACTCGATAACCCAGAAGATTTTCTGTTTTTGGCCCGAGGTACTTCCGAAAGTTTAGGAAAAGTTTTCAAATTAATATTATTTTTCCATGGAAAACTTTTTGTGCCATTTTGTTTGAAAATTTTTCTTAAACTTTCGGAAGTACCCCGAGCCAAAAATAGAAAATCTTCTGGGTTATCGAGTGTGCTGAATACGAAATATCACTTTTCAGCAACGCAAAACCAACTTTATTTTTTTTGTTCCGGTGATGTGACATTGTCCATCACCGCAAAAAAAATACGTCGAATCACAAGAACGATCTTCGAAAGCGGGTCTCAATTGAATAAAACAATTGTCATAAAGCGAATGATCCAACATATTAGTTTCGTCTCTAAAATCGAGGCAACCTGGATAATTATCAACTGAAAAACTTTTATACACCGATACTCAAATTCATTGTTACATTTATTTGTTTATAACTCGAAGTAATACTCTTCATTCGACAAATCAGAACAATCAATTTTATTGTCACATATCTCACGCCAATCAAGGCATATGTTCATACGATTATTTATATCCTTACACTTTCGATAACAAGTACGTTCATCAGCAATAAGTTTAAAATCTTCAACTGTATTACGTTTATTAATGTAATACTTTTGAATTAATAACTTTAAAGAAGAAATCAACGGAGCTGTAATTTTGTATTTGAAACTGTATTCACATTGTTCACCAAATGCTTGCTGCTCGGTGCAATTAAAGTAGACTATATCGCTTGATAGTGCTAAATGCTCATCGAGGTATGATTGATACTCATCAATTTTGTTCATCAGTGCATACCACTTAAACAAATCATTAACTGACACATGCTTTTGATCCAGGTTGTCGAAAGTGTATGATGCACCGTTATTATAACATGTCTTTGATTTGGACTCTGCACTATCTCTGGCCGTGACAGCAAAATGATGACAGTAGGACAACAGTACGGGTGCTTGTTCACCTTCTAGATCATTGTAGTAGTACAAACAATTTTTACCATTATTATTCGTATATAGTTGATAAGAACAATCAGCTAAATGAAAAATGCTCAGCACTACGCAGAATAGAACTAACATCTTCTCTAATGAACGTTAATTACATAAAATATTGTTATTATTAGATTGTGAACAGAAGAAAAAATAATATATGGTACCATACATCATGAATCATACATTAAGGACAGCCCGAAGAACGCCATGGTCAGCTTACGATATTCATCCTTTAGCATAATGTCCAATGCCAAAATATGTTTTCTCATCAACAAAAATTGTGCAGTTGCAGTAGATTGTATAACTTGACGCTATCTAATAACCGTCCAGTTATGATTGATGCTCATTAGTTTTTCTTCCAGTATACAGATGGATCTTCACTCGTAGCTTTGTCCTCCTTTGCTTCGTCATGGTTTTTAAAAAGTCATTGCAATATATACAAATCTTTGAACTACATCATTCTATTCATCTTAGCCCGGCTCAGCTTTACTCAAAATTTTTCAAAAACATTCAATATCTAGACTCCGGTCCTTTTAAACTTTCAAAACAATTTTATTCGGATTCAGCATCGAAAACTATATCTAGAAAAATATGTTTCGAATTGTTGGTGGGTAATCACAAGGAGAGTCACAAAAGCGCTTCCAGTTCATTTTGCAAACCTGTCTTCGTTGTAGAATCCAACGAAAATGCTTTCGAGAACTCTAGAGGATTTTTAGAAAACTAGTTTCATAGAAAATGTTTTTCTCTGAAAATTATCTACGATGACAGAACAATGATTTTCGTACAAAAGGCGGCCTTTCCGAACTCTTTACGATGTTATTTTGATTTCGAGAACCTATATATTAATATACAAAGTGCCTGACGCATAGCAATAAAATTCTCTCCAAATATCACAAACATTTCATATAAGATTTTGCGTACAATGTCTGCTATGAAATATTGGCGGTCATCTCGTCTCTGGTACAAGTGCAGTGCAGCAAAAGCGAAATGTGCACAATTTTATCAAAGATAGGAACGATGAGAAACAAATTTATCATCAGAATGGAAAATTTGATCACTGTCTAGACTCGTGGTGCTTCATGGTAGTGGATTATTGGAAAGAATCGCTTACTATAATTTTGGAATTTTATTTGAAACCTTTCTTTATCGAGTTATAGAAAAAAGACCGAAAAACTTTTAAAAACCAAGTTTTTATATTTTAGAACTCGGTAAAGAAAGATCTAAAATAAAATTCCAAAATTATACCTCTGCGCGATGACCTTAAGTACCTTAATAAACAGAGAGAGAGAGAGAGAGTACCCTCAATAAACAATAAATTACACCGTTTTCAACGTCCTGGATTATTGTGACTTCATTTACATTTACTATTCTTTTTCTCTCACTTTAATATTGTACTTTGTCAGTATATGTTTATTGAATGTCAGTTTAACCTTTTTTATCATAGTCTCATAGATATCCACGTGTTGTTTGAGTCAATAGATATCTGTTCTTTTCAGAACAGTTACTTTCTATATACGTTGTTAACAATAATATACTACTATTTTTCTCTATCGAGAAAAGAAAATGTCTATGTTAACATTTGAAATAGGATCGTGAATAAATATTGACCCGTTATTTGACATTGTAATTAATCTTTTTGTTTTAGATATATGAACAGATTTGGTATTTTGATATAAGTTTCATAAACATGATCGATCTTCTTTAGTGAAATTCAGGTTTTTCGGGAAAAAATTCAGAAACAAAAAACACTAATTAAAAAGTCAAATGTAATTGATCAATATTTGCTCACGATCCTGTTAACATAGACATTGTATATACAATATATCTGTCACAAAATGTTAACATAGACATTTTCTTTTCTTGATAGAGAAAAATAATAGTATATTATTGTTAACAAGGTATATGAAAAGTAAATATTCTGAAAAGAACAGATATCTATCGACTCATACAACACGTAAATATCTATGAAACTATAATATTGTGGTTTGTCAGTCTCCGTATATTGAACATGTTTACTTAAAAGTCTTATTTTGAAGTAGCTGTTAATGATATTTTTCAATAATATCATTGAACTTGATACTTTTCTTTTGTGTAGACAAATTTCAGAGATATCAAACACACTTTGCTGATGTGAAAATTGTTTTCTGAGCATAGACATTTTACTGAAAGTTTTAAACTTGCAAGATCACTCTTTGACCTTTATTCGCAGAAAATTTTATCTATTTTATTGTTTCTGTCTATAAAAAGTTGTAGTTTATATGTATAATATAGATAATATCATCAGCCACCATGAGTAATCAACCGCAATTTCATGCTTATTCAACCGCAATGGAGGTTGTGGATGGATTGAATGTAAATATGACAGGAAAAGTGGTTTTGATTACCGGAGCTTCATCAGGTATGCCATTTTGTTGAATGAGTATTAAATAGCAGTTGGTTTTTTGAACCATTTCATTCTTAGGTATCGGAATTGAGACTGCTCGAGCTATGGCACATGCCAAAGCGCATGTAATTATCACGGCTAGAGATATGAAAAAAGGTAATGATGTGGTTACCGATATTAAAAGAACAACTGGTAATAATAATGTTGAAGTAATGGAACTAAATCAAAGTTCATTGAAGGCTGTTCGTAAATTTGTCGATCAATATACAGCACGTAAATTACCATTGCATATACTTATTTGTAACGCTGGTATAATGGCTACTCCAGTAAGTGATTAACTCAATTATTCAGATTAACTTAAAATTTTTTTGTATAATATTTTTTAGTATCAGAAAACGGAAGATGGATATGAATCTCAGTTTGCTGTTAATCATTTATCACATTTTCTATTGACATTGTTACTATTACCAATCTTAAAAGAAAGTAAACCAGCAAGAGTAATCGTTGTCAGTTCACTAGCTAACAAACGAGGTGGAATTAATTTCGATGATATAAATTGGGAAAAACATTATGATAAATGGTTAGCCTATGCTCAAAGTAAGTCGGCAAACATTTTGTTTGCTAAACAGTTTAATAAACTGTATGCCAAAGAGGGTGTAGTTGCATATTCATTGCATCCTGGAGGAATTATGAGCGGACTGCAAAAAGATTTAACAAGAGAAGAAATGGATGCCATGGGATGGCTTGATGAAAATGGTAAAGCACGAGACGGTTTTAAAACGGTTGAACAAGGTGCATCGACAACCATATGGGCTGCGCTATCACCTGAGTTAGAAGGAAAAATTGATGGAGTTTATTGTGAAAATTGTGCTATTAGTCAGGGCGTCGTACTAGAACGAGAAAAAATGTATGGTATGGGACCGCATACAATGGATCCCGATGTGGCGAAACGCCTATGGGATGTTAGTATGGAGTTGACCGGATTAAATCCGAAAAAATGAACACATCTAACGAACTAAAAGAAAATTTTACTACTAAATTGTCGATAATATTCGATCAGTTTAAAAGTATAAAAGATGTTTTTTTGTGTTTAAATAAACTTCGTGTACATTTGTTTGGTAATAGTTTTGGACGTGAATCGAAGCTGGAAAAGGCAGATGTTTCGCTTTTTGTCTCATGATCTGATGTTCTCTAAGTAAATAGTTTTGCTGAATTCTTCCACTAATTTTACGTGTAACAATTATTTTTTCGTCTATATAATCACTTAAGTACGAATGAGAATCATCCGCTATTACTTCTGAGATATCTTTCTTCTGGGAAAAACTGCCTAAACATTTTTGAGAGAAATTCATCATGATCACTGCTAACTTGACGGGACCGCGACTAAGAAATTTTCACTTTTGGTTGTTATATTTTCTATTTTATTTGACCATTGGCTTTTAGAGTATGCGCTCTCATGTGTAGTAAGTTTATTATATTTTTGTGAATCTTTTCAATGAGTTTTCGTGTAGATATAAGCATCACCGCAAATCCCCTGAAAAACAGAGCCCTGTGTACAATATGTGTTTTTCTCACTATGTGTTTTTTCGATAGTCCCTTCAATCCAGTCACATTATGACCCCTCGAAAAAATGGTCCCATCAAGCTTAAATTTTACTACAGATACTTCAGATCCTATTTCAGGAGTAAAATTTTTTTTAAGCGTTTTCGATTTCAACTCTGGGTTTGAAAGATTTTTAAAATCAAAAACCGGTTTTTTATACAGGATTTTTAGAATTTTTTGAATATCTCGAAAAGGAAAGCATATTTTTCGAAATGAAAAAATTTTACTCCTGAGATAAGGTTTAAAGTATCTGTGGCAAAAATTTAAGCTTGATTGGACCATTTTTTCGAGGGATCGTAATGTGACTGGATGAAAACTGAAGTTTTCCAGAAAATCAATAGAAGAACATATCAGAAAAGTCTGGGCAAAAATACCTCGCAAAAATGCTTCCTTTCTATTTCGATGTTCTATTTTTTCTATAAATTTGAGCTCAATCGGACGTGTGCTCCGCATTTGGGAACACGGTGAAAAAAGAGGGAGGGTACCCTTAAAGTAATTTCTAAAACCACACCATTTGATTTTAGTAGAGAACTATGCATACAGAAACAAAGAAACTGTTAGTTTATCGCACGATTGTATCTTACAAGGTTCCTGTTGTTGTAATGCATCATTATGCACAACAACACTATATCGTTGTTCGCTTAAACTTTAACGGAAACTGTACAGAATATATAACTTTCATCAATACTGTCGTCTACTCTTTCGAGTACAACGCAACTTATTCCTTTCGCATACTGATGAACCAAAGAAAAGTGACCAAAAGCGAAAAAGAGAAAGAAATGAACGAAAGAAAAGTACAGTTGTAATAGGTATGATAAATGTAAATAGAAAAAGAAAACGAAGAAACAATATTAAGAGAAATAGCAAAATTTTTCACACATATAATATCGTTTCATATTTCTGAAATTGACAACCGAACAGTACGTAGTATCAAACCAAAAAGGTATGCATCGATTTAATTATAAAAATTCAGTTATTGTATAGTAGCGTCACTTACTCACGTGTATAATTTAGTACAGAATCGAAGAAAAACAAAAAACATATGATTTCAGATAGAATGCTTTCATGTCTGTTTTTCATTCTATGTGTTTAATATACATTTGTAGAATAGAAGAATATTCACTAGCCATGTGTCTTTATCGGTTTGTCAAAATGACGTTATTCAAACGGTTGTTTTTCATTATTTTATTTCAGTGTTAAAACATGTCTTGTACCAACACTCCTATTACGGTCGGCTATTGGTTAGGGTATGCAGGTGAACCGGAAAATGTTCCTCTACGAAGTTTACGCAGAGATAAGTTTGATTATATTCACATATTTTTATTTGAAACAAGTCGAGATCCTCACATAGCTATTTACCACGATTATTTAACATCGTCCAAATATAAATGGGAAGAAATTCTAAAAGATGCACACGAACTACAGCAAGAAGGAACAAAAATAATTGCGAGTATTCTTGATAATTCATACAATATGAAATTCGGAATTCATCTTGGAGAAAATGTTCATCAATGGGCTAGAACAGTTTATGACAAAATTTGTGAGTGGGAATTTGATGGTATTGATTTAGATTTTGAAGGTAGGCAAAAATTCGATTAACAGAACTTTTTTTAATATCACAGAGTATCTATCTATTCAGGTGAAAATCAGTTTGATTATGATATAGAAACGAAACAATTCAATCATTCGTCGATTGACAATTCAAAAAGATTAGTTCATGCACTATCAGTCTATTTTGGACCGAAATCATTTACGGGAAAACAAATGTCTATAGTAACAGGAAGGCCACTGTTAGAAATTTATAGGCAAACTTATGAACTATATGATTATACGATACTCATGTGTTATGACTGGAAAATGGAAGATTTAAAATGCTGGTGGAATGAATACATCAAATATGTTAAACCAGACAAAATTATTTTAGGTAAGAGAGTAAAAATTAAAATTAAAATAAAATAAGTATGAATAGCGAATGTGTCTATGAGAAATCTACTACGATATACAAACTGTTAACGTCAGAAATCGCACTACACAGAAGTTATAAAACATTAAAAATTATGAATTTTAGCCAAACCGCAGGTCTTTTGCTGATGTGACAGCTGAAAAATTTATATTTTGCTTTTTCAGTAAAACAGTCCCGCTTTCTTAATTTACTATAGTAATTAATATATATATATAATTAGGAAAGTGGGCCTATTTTACTGACTACATTTTGTGCCAAGACTTTCGCGCAGTAGGTTAAACTTACATCTTTGTTCGATCTCTAACATTTCTCCTATATCTGTCGCATAAAACTTGAAAATTTTTTTTCTATGTAACAGAGAAACTTAGACTTTAAGCGTGTTATTCATCAGAAAAATTTTTGTTATAATTAATTTTGGCTCATTCTTAATTGACATCACTTTTTATAATTAAAGAAATAAAAATGATCTCAGTTTGGAAAATTAGCTCGTAGCTTCTGTTTTAATAAAATATAGATTCCTAAACTGTATATAATAAAAATTGTATAAAATACATAGAGTGAAGTAAAAAGTCTAAAACATTATATTGAAATATCTACGTTAAACAAAAGCTTTTTCGTGTATCATATATTCGCTTTAAATGTGTTTTATTTTGTAACAATCTAGCCTCTTATCCAGTTTTGTGTTTTTCATCGTAAACATCATTACAAATTCTCAGTGCTAATCCATACTGGAATGTAGATGGTACATTTAGAAAGTCACCAAAACTATTTTATCAAAGCTACGGTATTCATATAAGGGATGAATTCAGCATGAAGTCAGTTATTTATGCTGCATTACCTAATAAGGAAGAGTTGTCGTATCAGGTACTATTAAATGCACTAATAACTACTGTAAAAATTCATATTTTAGTAAAGTAGGGGCTATAAGCTACAAAGTTTTCACTTCACTCTATGTATTTTATACAATTTTTATTATATACAGTTTAGGAATCTGTAGTTTATTAAAATAGCAGCTAAAAGCTCGTTTTCTAAACCGAAATCATTTTTCAAAATTAATAGAATATGCCATTTCTAAATTCAGATCATTATTATTTCTTTAGTTATAAAAAGTGATCTCAATTAAGAAGTCTTGGTAATTTCTGATGCTGAATCCAAATACAATATTATATAACGATGTATAGTAGATGTTTTTCCAAAAAATCAAATAAAAACAGTCAGTATATACCGGGTGGCCCCAGAAAACCGGGTCACTTTTATTCGTTGTTTTTGAGGGTGAGTCCAGTAGTTCTAACAGTTTATTTTAGACTCAATCGATAGAGAATTGAATTCTCTACAAAATCTGCTATTTGAATCTCTAATAGCATATTTCTCGTTTGATCATCATTCAAAACTTTGAATGGTGCTAAGTTGACGAAGTGCGGCGTGCTTTTTATCGCCTCGTTCTTTTTTGGTTTTTAGTTCATTGTCTATGATTCAATAGTTAATTTTTCTACGCAAAATGATAGAGAAGTTTGTGCTCTATCGATCTCACTCATTTACAACTTTATTTCCGCTACGCCAGCTGAATTCATAATTAGATCTCAATGGGCTTTTCAATTTTTTCATATTAAATTAACTTTTTTAATTAATGATTTCAATTGAGAAACTTTGTTTATATATCAAAAACTGCAGACTTTAATTCTGTGTAAGGTGATAAGAGTAAAATCGTGAATTCAGAAGGTTTTACTGCTTTTATAGCCCAAAAACTAAAGTCTGTAAAAAAATAGGTTTAAAAGTTAGATTTTTTTAGATTTATCAGTTTTTTGCACAGAGAAAGTTTCCTAAAAGATTTAACTACAAAATTTCGAAAAATGTGTGCGAAGATACAGAATTTTCCGGAGAGCCTTCTGATCTTTTCAAAATTGTGGTCAAACGAGAAAAATGCTATCAGAGATTCAAATAGCAGAGTTTGTAGAGAATTGTTAGGAGGTGTTAAATAATAGTTCTTTTCTTACGTGAGATGCTTTTACTGTACTCGATTCTTCCTTTTACTCACATCTCATGTTATGATATGATGACATATGGCGATCATATGTTTTTAGTGACCTTTCTCTGCTCTGTTCTACTGAGATCATTAATCCGACCAGTAGTAAATGACATATTCTTTCCTATTCTTGTACATCACGACCTAATGATGTCATGTTCTTCTGGCATCATTAGGTCCTTTTCTGATCCTTTCTCGAATGTTTGTTGATACGTATATATAGCTCTATTTTTCGTGAATGTAATCAGTAGTAATTTGTTATTGAATAAAGTAAATAAGTTAGAGAATTAATCAAGATAACTTTACTATGTAACAGAATTCAATTCTCTATCGATTGAGCTTAAAATGAAGTCTTTGAACTACCGGTCTCACTCTCAAAAACCACGAATAAAAGTGTTTTTTCTGGGCCACTCGTTACTATGTGTTCTTATTGAACCATTAACAACTGATAAAAAAAGAAAGTGGCATATTACAGAAGAGAAAAATTCGAAGATATGAAAAAGGGGATTTGCTGTATCGAGTTAACACAACTGTAGTAATAAAAATACTTTTTTATTTTTTTTTGTTTCAGTTTAAATCAGTTTAAATTAAAGTTTATTGTTGGTGTTGTTGATAAGAGTTCTTTTTTAGGATGTTCTGTCGAATATGGACAAGATGGACCATGCAGTTATGCGTATTCGAACACATCAGAAAGAATAAAAACATTTTTTGAATGGCAACCGACGGATTGTTTTGAGAAAAAAGGTGGAATGATGTTGTTTCACGTTGGTATTGATCATTGTCAATATGCAAAACATATTTGTCAAGAGCAAAAGAACAAGAAATAACGGATAGAATTAGTTTGTATGAGGATTTTATTATAAGTAATGTAAATATAAATTTTGAGCAAAGATTTTTATAATTTTTCCTTTTTTTTTGTATTTTTAACTTGGCTTTTTATAATTTTGAACAAAATAAAAATGTTACAGTCATAGAAAATATTATCGTTTTTCTCCACATCAGCTGTCTTTTCTTCTGTTTGCTGAAATTCTTTGATCTGTTTGTGGATTTTAATTCTTGTCAGAAAGAGAGAATAAAATTTTAATTAATTGCGCAAAGCCAATAGAACGATCGCGAAGTTGAATAACCTTGAATAAAAAGAATATTCTAATAAAAGGAACAATTATTCTTTACCGCTTGATCACTTTCATTAGAACATTAGGTGCTCGTGCTGAACAGAACAGGATAAAATTTAGTCGTTAGATGTAGAATTTCTTTTATTTTAGAAAAATTCCCATGTTCAAAGCCATAGAAAAGTTTTTACTGCATCCTTTTAAAGATTTTACTTTGTACAGTAACGGGATTCACAAAGGAGTTTATTCATTAAACACAAAAATCTTTAGTTCTGAAATAAAGTGGGAATAGAGAAAAACTTCACAGAAAATAGGAAAAAACAATATAGTCGATTTTTAGATATAATAGTGCAAATTTACAGCATATATTTCAAGGCTTTTTGTTAAGCATCATAACTTTTGATTTAAACATCGCTCAAATATGGTAGACATCTCATTTTATTGTGTTATTAGTAGAATCTATTTTTCGCGGCACTGAAAGCGTGTGAGATGTAATGTTTCTGCGAGCCTAGTTTTCCAGAGCTTGTATAACAAACCGTATTAAAACCCGTGAAAATTTTCTATTTTGATCAAAAGCAGTATGAAATTCTGACGAGGAAACTTTTCGAGAGGTTCCCTTCCGATTCCAATGATTTGTACATGGATCAATAGACATAAGTGAGGTAGTAAATACCCCAAAAAAGGACTTGGGTCCATGACTGTTGAAGATCCGGTTTTGTGGAAAACCAGTTTTTCAAGAACTCTAAAAAATAACCAAAACTTTTTTTTTAATGAGGCATGCTTGTAGCCCGCAAATTTCTGATTAAAATGAGACATCTTCCAACTCTACATGAGCTTTCTTTGCAAAGTTATAGAATTTACAAGAAAAGACCTAAATATTCATTGTTAGTTCAAAGCTATAGAAATAAGAAGAAATGAATTTAGGGCTTTTCTTGTAAATTCTATAACTTTGCAAAGAAAGCTCATGTAGAGTTGGAAGATGTCTCATTTTAATCAGAAATTTGCGGGCTACAAGCATGCCTCATTAAAAAAAATAGTTTTAGTTATGTTTTAAAGTTCTTGAAAAACTGGTTTGCCACAAAACCGGATCTTCAAGAGCCATGGGTCTGAATCGTTTTTGATATTTGCTACCTCACTGAGGTCTATCGATCCATGTACAAATCACTGGAATCGAAGGGGAACATCGCGAAAGGTTTCCTCGTGAGTGTAGGTGCTAGTCAACTTGGTATCTACAATTTCGTATTTTTACGGAGGAATGATTCGAGGATCCATATGTTTAAATATTTAAAAAATAAACTTACTTTATTGTATTTAAAATAATGATTTCATTAAAGAAATTGACACATTAGAAGATCCTCCTTAAATAGAAGACACTTCCGTACTTCGTCTTGTAAAAATTTGAGTCTTTTTCGAAATGATTTTTCTTCCAATTAGGTGACTTCCTATAAAACACTGTTTTAACTAGGGGTGGCGCATTTTCTTTACTGATGCGTTACTTTATTGAGTAAAGCAACGCTTTCAAATATCACCGTATGAGTGACGAACAACCGAAAATGTATTGTTTTATCACCTTCCGGACACAATGCGACTAAAGCGTTACTATATTATGC